CTGACAGTGCGTTTTGCTGAAGTTAATTAGTAAGAAGAGAGGAAGGCAGCAAGCTTCAAGGATGCTTTGAAATTTCCTTGACTTCAGAGAGTGGCCTGGCTCTGCGGAATGGGTCTAAACCTCCGGCAGAGATGTTGTGTGAGGAGCTGCCCTGCGGGCAGTGGTCCTGCACTGCCTTCCTCCCGGCGGGCTGCTGCTGCTGAGACCTCGCTCAGGCCCTCGCCAAGGAGCTGGGAGAAGTGCGGGGACATAAATCCACACAGGGTGCCAAGCCTTCAGTATTAATGGTGTGTGTTCTTGCTCTGTCTTGCGTGACCTTGTTTGTAAGTGCTGCAGTTTGTTCCAGCCTTCGCTTCGGGGACTCAAAATCCAGCTTGTAACCCGGCATGGCCATGGGCACAGATGCTTCAGGAAGCTGAGGTGCAAAGGCTGCCGGTCCCTGGCGACACTGGGCGTCCGCTGTGGGGTCAGGCGCTGCCTGCAGTGTCTGGTGTGAGCTCCACAGCAGCTGGGGCCTTTCTCCTGGCACTGGCCTTGGCTTTGTCAGATCCTCAGTTGGTGCTGGATGATTATTTAGGAAGCTGGGAGTTACACATTGGCGTGTTTGTGTGAAGGGTGGTGGCAAAGTGCCCTTTGGAAAAGATTTTGTTGACTTAAAGGACACTGCAAATCTCCGGAGCATTTAAATGATTAAAAATGAATCAGCCACAAAGTTAATTACTGTGTTCAAACGGCTTTTGTGCATCGCAATGTCCCTCATTAGCTGCCTGGGAGCACTGGTGTAAATTCTTTGAACACAAACATTTATTAAAGGCCGATGATCCATCATTAAATCTGGGGCTGCCTTAGTGCAGGGCAGTGGCCACAGGGACATGGGGCTGGGCTGTGGATGTGGAGGGATCTCTGGATCTGCGAGGACATGGCGGGTCTGTCCCACCCGGCATTGCCAGGCCCTGGCGCCAGCCTGTTCCCGGTGCTGCGGGAGCTGCCCTGTTCTGTTGCTGCCAGCACCGGCTGTGAGCTCTGAGCTGGGTGTCCCCGTGTCCTACACACCCGCTGCAGTGTCACTGAGCCGGGAAGAGCTTTTATCTTCCTCACACCTCAGTTTCTCGTGTGCTTGACCCAGTTTTGCTTAAACCTCCCGGTAGCTTTGGTTGAGCTTTCATGTACTGGTGCTGTCGTCTAGAGAGCCGGTGGTGGCTGCCAGCAGTGTGCCCCCGTGGCACGGCACAGCCCGGCACAGCGGGCTGCCAGGAGAGAGCCGGTGGTGGCTGCCAGCAGTGTGCCCCCGTGGCACGGCACAGCCCGGCACAGCGCAGCCTGGCATGGCCCACCCCCTTCGCATTGGGCAGGGCGCTTGGGGCCGGGTGCTGAGCCCTGTGCAGCAGCCGAGCTCACTGCACTGTTGCCCATGGGATCCTGCAGGTGCCCCCCTCTGCTCCTGCTGGGCAGTGTGGTGGGGCAAGGGACAGGCTG